ATTACGACACATCGCAACACCCGGGCATCCCTATCGTAGCCAGTGGCTGGCTGGATGGCGAAACGTCCACAACAAAGACAACCAGACGCCGCACATGTGTCTTAATTTCATCAGTAGTTGTAGTAGTAGTGGGGTAGTGGGATTAGAAGTGGGAAATAAGGAGGACGAGCCAGTCAAATACAAAGGAATGGGAGCACTGCAAGAGAGCTAGGTGCCCACTGAGGGAGAGCAAGCGCACAGAGGTGAGTGAAAGGGGAAGTGGTGAAATAAATGAAGAAGGAACAGAAACACGAGACAGAAGAGAGAAAGACAACCCAGAGGAGAAAAGGAAAGAGGAAAGGGGAAGAGGGAGAAGAAAAAGAAAAAGAAAAAATGAGGAGTCAGGTTAAGTCACGGGTGTTCTGAAGTTTGGAGCATTTTACAATGTAGTGGGAGAGGAAGGCATCTACAGAGACTAAGCCAGGGCTAAGGTTCATACAAGGAAAGTTGTGTATTAGAGAGGATTCAACTAGACAGCGACTGTTCGAGTTGGAAGTAGGGAAGACAGTTTTAGCAGAAGACCAGTCAATAGGATGGCTATGATCTCTGACGTGACAGAAAAGAGCATTGTTAGTGTCGGCAAGCCTAACACTATTTTTGTGCTCCCTAAGTCTGTCAGAAAGAGATCGACCAGTTTCTCCGAAGTATTGAAGAGGACAGGAGGAGCAAGAAATAAAGTAGACACCAGGAACATCTGTAGAGGGAGGAGAGGTATGAACAGATCATGCAAGAGTGTTAGTCTGGGGGAAGGGTAAGCTTGATGTCTAAGGAATGGAGAGAATTGTTGAGATTAGAAAGACCGGAAATGTAGGGAAGGCAGAGGATAGAAGAGTTCCCAGGAGTAGAGAGTTTGGGAGAGAAGAAATTGCATTTGGAACGTGAGAGGGCAGAGTCTATGAAATGGGAAGGGTAGCCAAGACGGTTTGGTTGTCTTTGTTGTGGACGTTTCGCCATCCAGTGGCTGGCTGGATGGCGAAACGTCTACGATAGGGATGCCTGGGTGTTGCGCATGTGTCTTAATTTCATCTTGTTGGTATTACATACCATTCTTGTACTACTACTACTACCACCACCACCTCTTCCTGCCTATATATAGCCGTCCTGCTCCACTTCTGGTTAGTGTGACTTTGTCAATGGTCCAAGTTGGACCGAAACGTCGTCGTAAGCTTCTCTCTTTTATGTGCGGGTTATTTGTGTATAGAATAATACATATTTTCTCTATTTTTTGTATGTATTTAAAAACCTAGGCTGTATAATGGAAATATGACAGTAAATTCAGTTTGTCAGTGGAAAGGGGTTGTTGTTCAGGTTATGATTTTTCAATCTAAAATTAGTTTTAAAAGTATTATAAGAGTGTTGGACATTTTAGTCTTCTGTTTAATATAGCTACTTTTGTAGGGAAATTCATATTTTTTCTTTATTTTCAATTTGTACCCCTCTGTTGGGTCCGGGAATTTATAAGGGAGTAATAACATTTCCACCCTCAAGAAAAGAATTTTTTAAACCCTTTCCGGGTTTTTTAAAATACCTAGGGGGAAAAGTAAGCCCTTCCCTTAAAATTATTGAACAAAATTATCAAAATTTTTTAAAAATAAAAAATTTTGAAAAATTTTTTATCAACCAAAAATTGAAAACTTTTTAATTGAAAAAAAAAAAAAATTTTGGTTTTTCCCCATCCCTAATTTTTTATATCATTACTTTTATAAAAAGGGGATTTTTTTTCCTTTTACGAAAAAAAAAAATAATTATATTTTTTAAAACTTGTGGAACAAAAAGGGGGTTTGAATGTTTAAAGGGTTTTTAAAATTGATCTTATATAAGGGGGAAAAGGGGGTGTTTTAGTGAGTGTTTGGTGAGAGGTAATGGGGTTTTTTGGGGGTTGATTAGCGGGTAAATTTGGGGGGGGAGTGTGTGTCTTTTTTTTTACTGTTATAATTTTAAATTACTTTTATTATATAAAATTTTTGCTAAATATTTTAATATTTTTTTTGTCCTTACAGCTTTTTTTTGGGCCGCAAGCAAAATTTGCTATTCCATTCCTTTTAAATACTCCCCCGAGCTTTACGCTATGGGTTGAGCAATAAAATAAAAAAAATTTGAAAATGGGAAAGGTAATTTGGGAGCTTTTATAGATTTTTTACGAGTGCGGGCTTAAAAAAACACCCATGAAAAAGGGAATCTTTTTAGTAATGTATTTAAAAAATTTAAAATTTCCCTTTTTTCCCTGTAATAAAGCAGGAATTTTTCGGGAAATTTTTCCCAAGGACCTGTCAAACTTTTCTTTTTTTATTTTGTTGTTATTGATAAGCATTCTAAATTTGTTGGGCATTTTATTTTTTTATACTTTAAAACTTTAAATTTAAATTTGGCTAAAATACAGGTTTTTTGTTTCCCTTTTTGGGGTTTTAACTGAGGGTTTGTTTTTACATTAAATTTTTATCCCCTAGACAATAATTTTTCTATTTTTATTAATTTTTTTAAATATTTTTGCCTTTATATTAACATCTTTGTGATTAATTATACACCAACAGAGTATGTAAATGAGGGTTACTGTTTGAACTTGTAAAAGTATGGTACTAAATTTTGGTAGTTTTAATTCTTCCATCATTCTCAGATCCTCAGGTTCCTGCTCTGATCAGTGTTATTCCTCAGATGTCTTATAGGCATCAGTAGCTCCAAATTGGACCATATATGTTTAGCATTTTTTTGTGTATATAATATATAATGATTCTCAGCATCAATAACAAGATAGGTCATGGTAGAGATGTGCCGCTTCAGGTATCATTGACCACTTGGTTTCACCAGGGTTTATCCTCTAAAAGCCTCCCTTCCAGTTCTCTGGCAAAATCCTTGATGAGATTGAGGGGGAAAACTACTTGTTTTACTAGTGAATGAACTTACTGGTACTCTGGAATCATTAGTCTTCTACTGCTAAGTTGTATCTGTCTACTGTTGCTGCTACCTCCATGACTTGCTCTCACCAGTGTCACAGTGTTCTACCTCCTCCTCTATGTTTGTCCAACTGATACCTGTAATGCAGATTCTTCCCACAGATATGTCTTCCCACAGACACATCTTCCCACAGACACGTCTTCCCACAGACACGTCTTCCCACAGACACGTCTTCCACAGACACGTCTTCCCACAGACCGTCTTCCACAGACACGTCTTCCCACAGACACGTCTTCCCACAGACACGTCTTCCCACAGACACGTCTTCCCACAGACACGTCTTCCCACAGACACGTCTTCCCACAGACACGTCTTCCCACAGACACGTCTTCCCACAGACACGTCTTCCCACAGACACGTTCTTCCCACAGACACGTCTTCCCACAGACACGTCTTCCCACAGACAACGTCTTCCCACAGACACGCTTCCCACAGACACGTCTTCCCACAGACACGTCTTCCCACAGACACGTCTTCCCACAGACACGTCTTCCCACAGACACGTCTTCCCACAGACACGTCTTCCCACAGACACTCTTCCCACAGACACGTCTTCCCACAGATGTGTCTTCCCATGGATATATCTTCCCAGTGTGTGTTTTTCATGTATGTATGTTTGTATTTATGTATGTGTATCTGTGTATACAAATAGGAGGGGAAGGGTACTCCAGCTATTTGGACTTGACTTTCAAACCTGACTTGAAGTAAATTTGTAGGAAGTACATTAATTTCTGGCTTGTTTGAATCCCTGGTGAGTTTGTCCATGATTCCTGTATTGTTTCCAACTTCCAAGTCCATTCTTTGTTTTCCATATTTCTCCAGCACCTTCCAAATTGTGCTCCATTCTTTCAACTTCTCCTCATTCCTCTGAGAAAGATTGTTGTATAATATTCACATCCCTATTGCTCTCAAGCATTGACATCTCCACTTCCTGTAGCCTCCTCCTTGCTGCAACGTTTGAAGCCCATGTCCTCACACCTATATAAAAGTGTTGGTACCGCTATACTTTGGTTCAGTCCCCTTTTTCCCTCAGTATATAAATTGCTTTCTTTCCATAGATACCTTAACATACCACCTACCCTTTTACCTTGTCTATTATTGATTCACCTAATCTTTCATTGACTTTCTCCATACTCCCTCCCTCCAATCTGATATTGTCTTTCAGTGCCTAGACTTTTTGTTACTCACATCACCTTGCTCTTTTTATGTTCACTTTTAATTACCTTCATTTACATATCACCCTAAACTTAACTAACCTTTACAACTTCTCTTCAGAATTTTTTAGAAGAATTGTGTTATCAGCAAGGGCCAACTGTGATAACTCTAGCTTTGTATCAGTTTCTTTGTCTTTTAATCCTGTGCCTCTCTTCATGCCTTTTGCATTCACTTATTTTACAACCCTATCTACAATTTTGCTTTTGAACAAACTGGCCATATCCACCAAGGCAGGGTGACTAAAAAGAAAAACAAAGTTTCTCTTTTTAAATTTAGTAATGTATACAGGAGAAGGGGTTACTAGACCCTTGCTCCTCCATCTACCAATCCTGTGTTAAATAACTATTACGGATCACTTTCTATGTCTACTTTTACATTAAAAAGTCTCCCTTTCTGCATATCCTAACTTAGCTTCATTGTCTGAATAAAAACTCTACTTCTTTAAGTAACCTACTACCTATGCCTGGCATTGTGCCTTTTTTTGTTCTTTAGGCACCCCTGTGGATATGCCTTTTCTAAATTCATCAAGATAAACCATTCTCACCCTTATCTAAGTTCTATATTTTTGTTGAAGTTGTTTAATTTTTTTTATTGTTGCTCACACACAGACATTCCACAGCATTAAGACATTTGTTTACAATGAACCATTTACATGTATGACTAATGGTGGTGATGTATAACTGATTTAGAAAGCTTTAACAGGTAAAAGAAAGTCATGTTGATCATAAATAAATGGTCATGACAGGTACAGTACTCCATTCACAAGATATTTGTTTTTTTCTATTTAATATTAGTTGTGGGATACACGACTTACTGCTGGGTGTTTGGAGCTGGGCACTAACTACACGAATATGAAGTCAGTTATGGATGATGTAGGTATTGCTATTGATCGCAAGACCCTGCAAAATATGGCAATATGGGAACCCCGTTCATTTAGGGTAAGTAAATATTATATGCAGTGTATTAAAGTTCATTACCTAAAATAGGAAAACCCCTTTATGTTCTATGTCATGGAAAGAATTGTAATGTCTCTTTTTTTTTTTACAGTGTTATTTCAAGCAAGTGTTCTTCATTTAGGTTTGTATTACAATATTAGGATGTCTTGAAATACAGCCTCGCCTCACTTACCGAGGGAGTTCCGTTCCTAAGACCACATCAGTAACGAATTTGTCAGCAATCAGGGAATCACACCCCTTACTGATACAGTGGAACCTTGGCTTACGAATTTAATCCGTTCTGTGACCTTGTTCGTATCCTGATTGTTCATATGCTGTGTCAAATTTTCCTTATTTAAATTAATTGAAAAGCTATTAATCCATTCCAGGGGAATCCTGCTCTCAGGAGGCACAACAAAATACACTTCAATATGACATGAAATATCAACTCTACAGCTTATTTATCTATCACAGTTCATCTAAATATGACATAATAAACAATATAAATAACATAGAAACAGATATATACTCTCTAGAATGAATAAAATAGGCTATAATATGGTGAGTGATAGTGGCAGTGGCAGCATCTGCCATTTACTCCTCCCCCTGACTATAGTACTATAAGTAAGTTTATTCAGGTATACACAAATACAGTTACTACATAGATTATCATACATAGCAGCATATGTGTACAGAACCTGGGATAACCCAAAAAAAGTCAGACAGAGTGCTTATTTCCATTGGGGTCTTTTAATACTTATTATTATACAATGTAGGAGATATCTTATTATTGTACTCTAAGGATATATACTAGGAATAGGTAAACAGAGTTACATACATTTACATGTGTTAACTAAAAAAAAAATAAAAAATCGTTCTCCTCCCGTTCTGTCGCTACATACATTAGGTACCTTTTGGCTCTCTTCTTGAACTGGTTCAGCTGTGACTAGCTTTGACATGTACAGGCAATCTGTTCCATTCATTTATTGCTGTACAGTAAAAGGTATTGAAGCCTGGCCACTGACTGTGGGTACTACAAAGTTGTGCTCTCTCCCTCTGTACTATGATTGCTTCGGTTCCCAGCCTTGACAGAATTAGTAGCAAGATATTCTGGACACCGTTTGTGAGCAATTTTATAAACTTGATTAACTTCAGTTTTTACTCTGTCTTCACCATTCAGCATATCCATTTGTTGTAATTCATCCTGGTCTGCATGTTCTCTTGGACCCTGGTCCAGGATGAATCTTGATCTTCCCATGCTCTTATTATAAGAGAAAATGGATTGTTTGTGAGGCTAACTGCACTAGATCACATTTTCATAAGGAAAATGCTGAAACAATGTACATACAGTGGTCCCTCGATTATCGTAGTTCTCGAGAATCGTAAATTTCGGAAATCATGGGATATTTTCATATAAACATGGGCTCGCTAATCGTAGATTGACTCGCAAATAGTAGTTCGTCTGGGACAGGTACACACAGCCCCGAGCCGCCTCACACTCCTTTCCCAGCCAGTGTGCCATTGTTTATCAGTGAGTGAGGATGATCCCACGAGTTCATACGATATATTTCATAATATTCCATTCGTTTTAGTGTTTGCAACTGCTAAATAAGTCACCATGGCTCCAAGGAAAGCTTCTAATGCCAGCCCTTTGGTAAAGAATGTGAGAAACACACATAATTTAAGAAAAAGTTTGTAGAAAAATATGAAGGTGGTGGTGGTAGAGTGGAAGCAGTTGTGATAGTGTAAAGTAAAAGGACACAAGTGCAACTAATGTGACATTTTATTGTGGCAATGTTTCGCTCTCCAGGAGCTTTATCAAGCCATTACAAACAATACATGGACACAGGGTATATAAAGGCTCAGAGTGAGGTGCAATACTAGTGAGGTACCATTTCGATGTTCACTAGTGGTAGTAGTAGTAGTTGTAGTAGTAGTAGTGACAAAAGTAATACAATATGGTAGAGCAATTAATTCGTACATGAGTAAAAGGTGGGTGACACCCGCCTCAATGAACACATTTACGCATGTAGGAACGATAACTTGAACAATGCCTGTGTACAACACCGAAATTCCACCAATCATCTCATGAAAATCAGACGCCCAATTAGTGATCAAAGAAACTAATTTCCGCAGACGCAAGTGCCTCGAATCAGCACTGATCGCTGTTTCGAATACAATTAAACAAAACAACGGCAGTTTCACCATCTCCGAAGTCTTAGCAAGAATCCTTTTGAAAACAGTAAACCCTGCCATCACATAGTCTCTCCTGTTATACTACACAAAGCACATTACGGAGAGTGAACACTGAAACAAGCTGCCTCTTTCCAGTTTATATTTGTCCAACCTATTTTTATGTTACGCAAGTACGTAATAGCTTTTGATATCCTTTTACTCAGGTATGAATTAATTACTCTACCATATTGTATTACTTTTGTCACTACTACTACTACTACTACTACTACTACCACCACTAGTGAACATCGAAATGGTGCCTCACTAGTATTGCACCTCACTCTGAGCCTTTATATACCCTCTGTGTCCATGTATTGTTTGTAATGGCTTGATAAAGCTCCTGGAGAGCGAAACGTTGCCACAATAAAATGTCACATTAGTAGATGAATGGTTCAGAGAACCGACATGTTGATAAATTAGACACATGTGCAACTCTTGGGTACCTTTATTGAGGAAATGTTTCGCCACACAGTGGCTTCATCAGTCCATACAAAGGAGAATCTTGAAGAACAGGAGGAGAATGAGGTAATCAGTCCCTCAACCTTGAGTCGATGTGGTGAGTCCATCAATCTTGAATAGAATACATATTCTATTCAAGATTGATGGACTGAACACATCGACTCAAGGTTGAGGGACTGATTACCTCATTCTCCTCCTGTTCTTCAAGTTTCTCCTACGTATTGACTGATGAAGCCACTGTGTGGTGAAACGTTTCCTCAATAAAGGTACCCAAGAGTTGCACATGTGTCTGATTTATCAACATGTCAGTTCTCTGAACCATTCATCTACAAACCTGTCAAAACACTGCAACTCTTGGGATTTAATACTTGGGAATTCTTGGGCTTGCCTAACCCTTGGGCACGACCTACTTCCACATTGGGCAAATGTGACACCACCTATGACTGCTGCACCTCTCCTACCTACGGTTTATAAGCTCCTTCTCCGCTCATATGCCGTATTCTACTCAAGATTGATGGACTGACCACATCGTCTCAAGGTTGAGGGACTGATTACCTCATTCTCCTCCTATTCTTCAAGCTTCTCCTGTGTATGGACTGATGAAGCCACTGTGTTGCGAAACGTTTCCTTAATAAAGATACCCAAGAGTTGCACATGTGTCTAATTTATCAACGTGACGGTTCTGTGAACCATTCATCTACAATTCTCTGTATGTTCTCTAATGAGTCTATATCCATCCTGTAGTAAGGAGACCAAAACTGAGCAGCATAATCTAAATGAGGCCTCACTAGTGATGTATAGAGCTGCAAAATAACTTCTGGACTTCTGTTACTTATACTTCTTGAGATAAATCCAAGTAATCTGTTGGCCTTGTTGCGCACACTAAGGCACTGCTGTCTTGGCTTTAGATTTCTGCTTACCATGACTCCCAAGTCTTTTTCACATTCTGTATGATCAAGCTCTACTTCACCTAGATTATAGCTTCGAGGGTTATTTCATTATCAAGGGCAAGTACCTTACACTTAATCCACATTGAACTTCATCTGCCATTTTTCAGACCAAGACATTAATTTGTCCAAATCTCCTGGAGTTCATTGATATCCTCCTCAGAGTGAATTATACGGCCTATCTTTGTATCATCAGCAAACTTACTCATGTCACTCGTAATCCCTCATCAAGGTCATTAATGTAAATTATGAAAAAGAGAGAGGGCCTAAAACTGATCCTTGTGGAAGGGCCACTAGTGACTAATCCCCATTCAGTTTTTCACTCCATTAATGGTAACTCTCTGCTTTCTATTGGTAACCCATGCCTCAATCCATGCTAGAACTTTACCTCCTATACCATGAGCTGCCACTTTTCTTAAGAGTCTCTTGTGAGGTACTCTATCGAAGGTTTTTACTAAAATCCAAATAAACAATATCATTTTCCTTTTATCACTGTCAACTGCCTCAAATGTTCTATTGAAGAACGTCAGTAAGTTTGTCAGGCAGGAAACGACCTCTCGTGAATCCATGCTGAGATTCTTTTATCAAGTTATGCTCTTCAAGGTGACTTCTGATAATGTCATCTATAATTGATTCTAATAACTTGCCCACTATAGATGTCAGGCTTATTGGACGGTAATTTGAAGAGTGGACTTATCCCTGATTTGAATATAGGAAACCACATTAGCCATCTGCCACAACTCTGGCACAACACCGGTAAGGATGGACGCATTGAATACACTCGTTAAATGGCGACTAAGCTCCATTTTGCATTTCCTTAAAGTACCCTGGAAAACAGCTCATCGGGTCCCGGGGACTTATTTTGCTTCAGTTTGGGCTATCTATTTAATAACCATTTTCCCTCGTGACAGTAATATTAGTTAACTTAAATTCATCAGGAACTAAATAATTGTTAATTACTGGAATCTCATTTACATCTTTTCCCGTGTAAAAACTGAAAAAAAAATAGTCATTAAATAAGGAACACATTTCCAGTTCCTTATCCGTCAGCTGTCCATTCCCAATTTTCAGAGGTCCTACTTTTTTCTTAACCTTCGTCCTATACACTTGAAAGAACCCCTTTGGATTAGTCTTTGATTCATTAGCAACTTTAATTTCATAGTCACGTTTAGCCTTTCTAATCCCCTTTTTTACTTCTCTTTTAAGCTGAACATATTGGTCAGTAAGGTTAACCTCTCCTCTTCTGATGCGCCTATAAATTCCCCCTTTCTCCCCTAATAGATGCTTTAGCTTCCTGTTAACCCATTTGGGATCATTATTATTAGACCTAATATCTCTCTGGGGAATGTATATACTCTGGGC